ATGGGGAAATTTGTGAACCATTACGCAACGAGTTGACAATTGTTTTAGGTATGCCCGTTTGCGATAAGACGGAACCCGGTCGCTAAAATGGCCACGAGATAGGCACGAGTCGCTATTCGGCTTGTACCGGAATAACACGAGTTGGTCACGAATGTCATCGATAGGGGGACGAGTCTTCTTGCAGGTTACGGAAAGGGGCGAGTGGTGACGAATGAGTAACATGTATTGCGCCGCGCACACCACATGCCCCTTCAGTTTAAAGTTGGACCGTCCGGGTCAGCGCACCTAGCGGGTTAGTGAAGGGAAGATAAATTGAAATAGATCGCCCATAGAGTAGTACTGTTCAAAATGGCAGGTCAGAACAGGTCTTCAGCAACCCATGCTAGCCGTAAAAGGCGACTAACGGGATCGGGTGGTCAGGCTCGCTGACTTGGTTGATGCATGTCATCGATCCCAATTGCGTGGATAGATGCTCATGATGTCAGTCACTGGATTGTCTGGTACAGATTATACCCGAAATATTGCCGAGTGCGGCGTTAAACAACAAACAAATCAAAATGGCAGGAATCCTAACTTATTCACTCATTCATTAGCTGCAGTAACTGATACACCGGTAGCGCGAGGCAATTCACATAGCTTCAAATGGAATGTTAGTGATTGTTCCATAAGGAGATACACTGATGGCGCGGGGCAGTTCCTGTTTACGCCTGACATTCCGAGTCGAGTCAATGAATCACTAACACGAGTGAGTGAGTGAGTGAGTGAGTTGGGTTTAACGCCGCCTGATGACATCAGGTGTTGGCGATAAGTATGTGAGCGCTCCCATGTACACATGGGCTACACTGTGTTTGAGTTGTGGTTTCACTGTCCTGGATTACTGACAACATTTTCCACTTCCCTGTAATGGCCTTGGATTGTACACATGACCTACAGAATAATCAATATGCCCTTAATAGGATGCAGTCTCTATAAAGTCAGTATGAACACCCGGTGTTATCAATGATCCATTTTTCAGCGCGATATTGCCTTTTACGACCACTGAGTGAGTGAGTGAGTGAGTTTGGTTTAACGCCGCTTTTAACAGTATTCCAGTTATATCGCTGCGTGTCAGCTTAATGTGGGAGGAAAGCCCGAAGTGATGCAGGTCTCCGACGTTTACCACTTCGGTGAAACCCACGAGCACGGGTATGGTGCTGACAAACCTAGAAACATAATCGGGGCGAACCGGGATTCGAACCCACAATCATAGGTTTCTGGCGTGCCCAAGGGACGCAACTCTGCACAGCGAATCGCGGCGCCTTAGACGACTTGGCCACCCGTGCCCCCTACACGAGTGAGTGTTATGGTTGAACTAATAACATGGTCACTGAACTTGACACGTGGTACGACCTGATGACCAGGCAAGGTATAGCCTTGATTTATGATTTAAACAGCCATTGCTTACAAATACTACCGTACAGGAGGAGGGCGTGGGGGTTTATCATCCGCAAGTTTAACGAACAAGGGACAGCCCTTCTATTTACATATAGAAAATGTAATGGTCATATCGAAGATCAATCCCATGTGGTACACTACTGCCTAGAAGTTCATTCTCCTTAGGGCGGTCGGGTAGCCTAGTGGTTAAAGCGTTCGCTCGTCACGCCGAAGATCCGGGTTCGAATCCCGACATGGGTACAATGTGTGAAGCCCATTTCTGGTGTCCCCCGCCGTGATATTGCTGGAATATTGCTAAAAGCGGCGTAAAACCAAACTCACTCACCCACTCATTACCCTTACACGCATGGGCAACGCGTTACGCAACCCGTGTGCACCCCATTGGTCACTCGTGTGGAACCCGTCCGCAACGCGTTGAACACGGGTTTGCAACCCGTTCGTCACTCGTGTGCACCGCGTGACACACTCATTACAGGGGGAACAAACTTTTGACCAAAGGAGGACCCGTGTTAAGCTGAATTGGAGGTGGTAACAATGAGATATTTTTTGTATTTCCTGACGAAAAATGTTAACACACATTTAATTATATGTTGGTTGGTTGGTTGTTTTACGCCGCACTCAGTAATATTCCAGCTATATGACTGCGGTCTGTAAATAATCGAGTACTGTTGTGGCTTCTACATGATGTTTTGCGATGGTGTCAAGAGAATACTTGATCCTGGTAAATGTTATTGCTATTCAAATGCTTTTTGTGATTTGACATTAAACGTCTGTAGTACGACTTTCAGTGATCATGTTTATGAGGTTTGGCGGAGCGTTGTTTTTATTGGACCCTAATTACTTTATGATGTTTTTGTTTTTTTGTCTCAGCTCCCAAGCCGTGACGCTGGGAAAAGGCAGCAATTAATTAATGAGAGTAGATTATATCATGGAGGATACACTTGGGGGAGAGGGTTCTACTAATTACCGTACCACAGAAAGAGACATGCAGACGTGAGCGCGGGGTTGTATGTAAGCTGGTCGTTGCATAATGGCCGCCAGGAGAGGTAAACATTGAGTGTTGTTTTCACGGGTTTGTTGAATAAAACCCCAGCACTACTGTCAATATATCTTCTACTTGATCATGGATACATCATTTAGGCATTTACAATATATATGTTTTCAATTTACATTAATGGTTTCCTAGACATATCTTTTAGAGTATTTGTCAGTTGTGTTGAGCTAACAAGCAATAATTGTAATTTTTGGTGACATGTCAAATTACAACATGAAGTCTCATTTAAAACATGAAGTAAGTATTATAGTAAATAATAATATTCAAATCGCATTAAAATACAATGATACAGATGTAACCCTAAAGCCTGTGTTCCACATTCAGAACCAGGAGGAAAAATTATTATCATATAATAAACAAAGTTAAGAAGCTTGCCCTTACTTACCTGTAGAGACATCATCTGAATATGACTATATATGTAAATGTTAAGATACTGTACCTATCTTCACGACGTATTAAAAAAAATCGGGATAAGGTTCATGGAGACGAAGGCTATAGATACAATACGATCTACGTTAAATTTTAACTCACTCACTCACTTATCGTGTATAAAGTATAAAGATAAGCAATTGTTGATAAATCCTCACAATTCAGAAAACATCGATCCATAGCTATATTTTAAAACATCTATTTCTATAAGTCTTTGAAAGGCATTAAGAAGTGATACACACAAGGAAGAGAATTTATGGATGTCAACTTTATTAAGAGGAACAACGTTTCGGAGTATATGCTTACTCCTTCATAAGTCGTTGTGTTCCTTATAATAATGAAGTTGACATCCATAAATTCTCTTCCTTATTTCAATAAGGTTCACAAATTCACGTGGCTAAGGGATATATAGCGGTGAAAATTATACGAATGGATTACTGACAATAAGTGATAAGAAATGAATATATGTCTATGATTCTAGTGTTGAAGAAGCAGAACATCTACCAGTGAAATTAAGGTTAACAAGCCGACGGGTTATACACGAGATTTAATTCAATTGTCATTTATGATTTAACGAGTCTACATAATACGTATGCATCAGGGAAACGACGTCTAAAGAAAACTGAATAGTCATACGGCCCGTGAAGATCCGGGTTAGAATAGGTCTTCAGCAACCCATGCTTGCCGCTAAGCAACAAACAAACAAACAAAGAATACTATTAGTCATACCAGAAAATGCACTGATGCGACAAGCACACATTGTTAATCGCTGGCTATTATCTGTAATTACGTTCCACAAGTATCAATGATTTCAGGAAAAACCTCCTCATCGTTGACTTTCACTGACGACTACGCGTTAATCAACCATATATGTCCATGCAAGGACGGACTTTTGTATTCACGCTCGTTCATAATGCGTTATGAAAGTGACTGCACCAGCGAGTACACTCGCAAAGAGCGAAACACAATCAGGGAAGTATGTGGTGAGGTGAAATGGGGTTTAACGTCGCGTCCAAGATTATTGCACTTATATAGCGACGTGCATGCACGTGTATGTGTGTGTGTGGCTGCTTGTACTTGTCCGGACTGATGCCGATTTATAGTGCTAGCTCACTGAGATACCATGCCGCAGTTTAACATGAATACCCCACTCAGACACAGTATACTGACTCCGAGCCGACCAGTCCTTGTTTTAGCCCCTTAATGCCGAGCGCCAGACAGGGTAACAACAAGTACAATCTTTTAACGTCTTTTTGTATGACGCGGCCCGGGATCGAACCCTGGACCTTCCGCTCTCCGGGCGGACGCTCTACCACAAGATCACGGAGGCGGTCAGGGAAGTATGTATTTATGAGTTACAAACGTTCTCCGTACAGATTCACTGATTCAAATCCTCTATCGATTGTCAAACATATACAGCGAACATAAACGACTGTTCATTATCAATGAAGCGATTATTGACAAATGGTATGAAAAAGAAAACTTTTTTTTCATATCTTACGCGCATAATATTTACCTTAATGCTTCAGGTTCGTTGTAGTCTACGGTTTCGTTTGGTTTGTTTTTTAACGCCGCACTCAGCAATTTTCCATCTATATATGACGGCGGTCTGTAAATAATCGAGTCTGGACCAGAAAATCCAGTGATTGATATCATGAGCATCGATCCACGCATTTGGGATCGATGACATGTATCAACCAAGTCAGAGAGCCTGACCACCCGATCCCCTTTAGTCGCCTTTTACGGCAAGTATGGGTTGCTGAAGGCCTAATCCTACCCCGGAATCTTCACGGGTCTTACGGATAGTTCAACCTTTGATTTACCTTAAAACTGTTCACCTGCTCATTTGTTTTTTAACCGAAACCAAAAACAGAATAAACCAATCTGTCCCGATAATACCCAGGACACACAAATTCTACATTAAATTTACACTTGAGTATAAAAATAATTGAAAGGACAAAAAAGCATGGTATCTTACCAGGTAAGAAGCGGAACTGTATTGACGATACGGGTTAGTGAGTGAATTGGTGTAACCCCTCTTTTAAAAGCTGGACATAACTTCAACAGTAAAATGTTATCTTACCGTCGTTGATGGCTCCGGCATGTCAGTATGAGGTAACTGCTTTCTGCTGGTCTTTTTACGGGGAATCTGGTTTCACTTTCCCCATGGCCCCGGCGTTCTCGGTGTGCAATGATATAACTTCCTTGTCGAACTAGTCAAACAAGTCAGAAGCTATCATTTGAGAAACAAACTACCGTGTTCTCTTTTTAACTCGACAGAATGTTTCTTAGAAATTGAAATGTAAGTGAGATATTTGACAAGATGCATGCACCGACTTTTCTTATTCTCAATGGGTTCTTGTTCGAAATTACATCACCGTGACGAGCAGTTCAACATGAAGTTTACGACACATATTGGTTGGTTGGTTAGTTTACGCCGCACTTAGCAATATTCCCGCTATAAATAATCGGTGCCAGACAATCCGGTGATTGATATCATGAGCACCGATCCCCGCAATTGGGATTGAATGACATGCTTCAACCCATCCCGTTAGTCGCCTCTTACGACAAGCATGGCGCCTTTTACGGCAAGCATGGGTTTGCCGAAGACCTATTCTACCCCGGATCTTCAAGGGGAAGAATATTTATTCACATATTTGATCAAGATGGTGTACTTTTGGTTCACAGACCCATGAAGATCCCCTGCTGGAGACCTATTCTACCCCGGATCTTCAAGGGGAAGAATATTTATTCACATATTTGATGAAGATGACTGTCAAGATGGTGTACTTTTGGTTCACGGACCCATGAAGATCCCCTGCTGGAGACCTATTCTACCCCGGATCTTCAAGGGGAAGAATATTTATTCACATATTTGATCAAGATGACTGTCAAAATGGTGTACTTTTGGTTCACAGACCCATGAAGATCCCCTGCTGGAGACCTATTTTAACGCGGATCTTCACGGGCCGTATGACTATTCAGTTTTCTTTTGACGTCAGTTTCCCTGATGCATACAGATTATGAAGACTCATTGAATCATTAATGACAATTAAATCTCGTGTATCACCCGTCGGCTTGTTAACCTTAATTTCACTGGTACATGTACTGCTTCTTCAACACCAGAATCATAGACACTATACCGCCATATAGCTGGAATATTGCTGAGTGCGGCGTTAAACAACCAACCAACCAACCAACCAAATCTTATCACTTATTGTCAGTAATCCATTCGTATAATTTTCACTGCTATATATCCGTTAGTCGTGGATTTGTGAACCTTATTGAAATAAGGAAGAGTATTGATGGATGTCAACTTTATTATTATAAGTTGGTTGGTTGGTTTGTTGTTTAACGCCGCATTCAGCAATATTCCAGCTATATGACGGCGGTCTGTAAATAATCGAGTCTGGACCAGACAATCCAGTGATTGATATCATAAGCATCGATCCACGCAATTGGGATCAATGCCATGCATCAACCAAGTCAGCGAGCCTGACCACCCGAACCCGTTAGTCGCCTTTTACGGCAAGTATGGGTTGTTGAAGACCTATTCTACCCCGGAATCTTCACGGGTCTCCTTTGCGGTAGTGTTTGTAAGCAATGGCTGTTTACATCATAAATCAAGGCTATACCTTGCCTGGTCATCAGGTCGTACCACGTGTCAAGTTCAGTGACCATGTTAGTAGTTCAACCATAACACTCTCTCGTGTTAGTGATTCATTGCTTAGTGCAGACTCGACTCGGAATTTCAGGCGTAAACAGGAACTGCCCCGCGCCATCAATGTATATCTCCTAATGGTACAATCACTAACATTCCATTTGAAGCTATGTGAATTGCCCCGTGCTACCGGTGTATCAGTTACTGCAGCTAATGAATGCGTGAAAAAGTTGGGATTCCTGCCATTTTGATTCGTTTGTTGTTTAACGCCGCACTCAGCAATATTTCAGGTATATGACGGCGGTGTGTAAAATAATCGAGTCTGAAGCAGACAGTCCAGTGATTGACATCATGAGCATCTATCCACGCAGTTCGGATACGACGACATGCATCAACCAAGTCAGCGAGCCTGACCACCGTTAGTCGCCTCTTACGGCAAGCATCGGTGCTGAAGACCTTCTCTAACCCGGATCTTCACGAGTCAAACTTCACATCTAGCGCTTGATAAGATAGTATTACTATCTTTATGAACAATTACCGAGCATAAATAAATCTGAGATTCGAAAATAGTCTTAAAATATGTATAACAAGCAACAGGCTCGTGATCTGAGGTACACATCAACACTACAAGACGACATGAAAGCACGAATCAACAATATTTGAAAACATGTGATTAAAAGGAATGCACGTGGGACATTAATTAAAATGTACTCCAGTTACATAAATGTGGAAGATCGAGACAAACATATCACTTGGTTAGATTAAAAGAAAACTAACTGGTACGAAGGATTGACGGGCTCTGTTTGTTTTCATTTTCGACATGCGCAGTCGGTACAAGCTCATACCACAAAAACAAGATATGTGTACTGTACGGAAGCGTAGTGGGGCCACGGTAAAAAATTTTTGTCGAAATATCCCCAACGTACGTAGGACTTAGTATCTTCTACGTGGGACTTAGTATCTCCTACGTAGGACTTACTATCTCCTACGTAGGACTTAGTATGGCATAGAAATACTATCTCCTACATAGGACTTGCTATCTCCTACGTAGGACTTTGTATGGCCTAGAATTACTATCTCCTACGTAGGACTTACTATCTCCTACGTAGGACTTACTATCTCCTACGTAGGACTTACTATCTCATACGTAGGACTTAGTATGGCCTAGACTTACTATTTCCTACATAGGACTTTGTATGGCCTAGAATCACTATCTTCTACTAAGTCCTACCTTGGAGATAATAAGTCCTACGTAGGAGATACTGAGACAAAAGAATTCACCGTGGCCCTACTAAGCTTCCGTAGAATTGTTATTTAAAATTTAGTGCGCCTTTTTCACAATTTGTGGCTCAGAATATATGCTGATGCTTTGTGAAGGAAAGCCATTTAGGCATTATTTATTACTATTATTCTCAGTTTGGCTTGAGCATGTGGTTTACATTTCTTATGAATATGGAAAGTGTTTTGTCGCTTTTATCTAATTCACATCTGATCCGGTTTACAGGGAATATGAGGCAGCCACTTTAATCGAATTCAAACATTTCGTCGTTTCAACTTCCTTATTGACTTCACTGCGTTTTCTTGAAGATTCTCGTATGAGGCCACCCTTTGAATATTATTGAATCAATCGAACTGAAAGACTCGCGTACACGGATATAACTATTAAACGGTTGCTACAGTAATTAAAACGTTTGACTTAGGATTGATTCGATTGTGTGTCGTTTAACGCCGCACTCAGCAAAAGTACAGCTTTGTGACGGCTGTCTGTAAATAATCGAGTCTGGACTAGACAATCCAGTGATTGACACCATGAGCATCGATCCACGCAATTGGGACAGCCTAGCGGTAATCGCATTCGTTTCTCACGCCGAATGACCGGAATATTGCTAAAAGTTGACTGACTCCATCACGACATTATGAAAGCGACTATTAAGACATCGAAAGCGTGTAGAAACTCTTCCCGTTTGTTTGTTGTGTTTGTTTTACACCAAAGTATGTAATATACTAGCGGCAAGTACGTTTTTTGACAATTGAGTGTGATGCAGATATATATTCTGGGGTACATATTTCGGTAACAAAATGTTTTGCGTACAATGCGCAGTTCGTCTCACATCAGGTAACATCTTTGCTGGAGCGAACAGAGATTTGAAATTTATTAAATGTTTTCCATAAAACAGTTCTAGAGACGGTTATTGATATGTGTAATATCCGTTACGCTTTTCATTGCTTTATATTCAGGGACCAATGTTGATCGTATACGATGTTCTCGGAAAATAACCCGGAAATAGCAACCACCTGCACATAGTTTTCGCTTCGGTGACCTAACATTGAGTCAGTTACGATGTGTAATAAAAATAAAAATAATCACCAGCGGCACATCACTGGTTGGTATTTACGCATGAAACAGTTTGGGAGACACCGTTTGCGATCGACCAATCAGCGTTTGTGAATATGAAAACATCCCGAAGCAACGCCATTTCGAGAAAGCAAAATAATGACTTTGTCTCGTCAAATAACAACAGCTATGACTTGTAACCCCACCCCATGGGATGTGTATAGGTCCCCAGACCCGTGAAGATTCCGGGGTAGAATAGGTCTTCAGCAACCCATGCTTGCCGTAAAAGGTGACTATATTGTCTGGTCCAGACTGGATTATTTACAGACCGCCGTCATATAGCTGGAATATTGCTGAGTGCGGCGTTAAACCCCAGACAACCCACTGATTGACATCATGAGCATCGATCCACAAAATTGGGATACGATGACATGTATCATCCAAGTCAGCGAGCCTGACCATCCGATCCCGTTAGTCGCCTCTTACGACAAGCACAGTCGCCTTTTACGACAAGCATGGGTTGCTGAAGACCAATACTACTCCGGATCTTCACGGGCCACGTTGCAGACTCGTTCCTCCACTAGAAACGTAAATACATTTGACGTGGGGGAGCGAGATTGCAATGCATAACGTTGCTCTCAGATATATTGGCTACTTTGGAAATGGACCCCTCTTCAAACCAATTCTAGAGAAAGTGAGGACTCAGCTGGATCCTGACACAGAAACAGAAGAATTGGATCGTAAAATCTCTCAGTGGATGAAACCAGTGGTCAAAGATATCCTCTCACATGTGGACTTGTCACTGGCCGAAGATTTAGAGCTGGTCAACCAATCTGATGATGACCAAGATAATGATGATGATGATGATGATATTTAATAATAATTAAACTCTTGTACATTAAAACACTATTCTGTAATTATGTGACTCTACATATCATAATGTTATATGTATTGAACATATGTAATAAAGGCATGTATATATAAAAAATACTAGTTGAGTTATGATTTGAATGATAAAAGCTTTTAGTATTTTATTTGAATTTACCTATCAGTTGAAATGTTAAGTTACCGAATCATATTAACTGTGTCTAAATATTGATAAAACACACAAACGCACCAATATTTATAAAACACACAAACGCACCAGATACAGTTCAAACATTTATTCAACAATCATATTTTAATAGCAGTACATTTTATATCCATTGATTACAGCACAATATATTCCAACACAATGCATTTTATATATCATTTTCAATGCAATAGTGAGTGCGAGTGAGTTAATGCTTTACGTCACATCGGCAATATTTCAGCCATATCGTGACGATTCAATACAATAAGACATATATAGAAGTATAATACTTAATGAACAAACATAAATCACTGAGATGATATATTTGGGTATTTTCATGAGTCATGAAGCATCATATTCAAACAGAAGCTTTTACATCATAACATGGACATGGCTGTGTCAATTTATCTTAATACATCATACACACGAGGAATGAAATGGTTTCTAAGACTTGTTTCTGTAGTGTCCATGAGCTAATGTGTTTACCCCATCTTCCAAGACATACCTTTTGTCATCACAGGGGGAAAGGCTAATATTATTGATTTGAACAGCATAAAGCTGATGGTTACGACTTTGAATTTGGGTCATCTGGTGTCTAAATTGAGTATGCTTCATGAGACAATGTTTGAACAGTTCATGTCTTCATTGTCTCTTAATCAGAGTTTGATGACATAATCTATTATTTCATCAGTTTTCTCATCTTTCTCTGGGGCTTCAACATCATAAGAATATAATTTAGGTCGAAGGCCGCAAAATGAAACCATAGGGTAACCTTCAGCTTCATCTTTAAACTTGCCTAGGACTTTTTTGTTAGACTCTGAGTAGGTGGGTTTTATGATAGATTGAAGTATCAAACAACTCCATATGTTCTCCCATGTCAGAATGAACATTCTCTGTCTCAATGTGGTAACACAATGAGTCTGTGTCAGTGAAACAGAGTTGGGCCTTGTCCCCGTACTTTGATAAAGTTATAATGAAAATCATACATGTGTATTTTTGAGAGATCCAAAATAGAAAAGCCTGCATACAGTAGTTGATTCAGTTTTAATGTAGCCTTTTTCAAATGCACAGCAGCAAAATCAGAGTTGAAAATTTTGAAAGCCTCAAAAGTAGGTTTTAGCACACAGTTTCTTGAGACGCTTGGCCGAGTTCACCAGTTCAACATTGACATGTTGCGCACATTCATCATGCTACGGCCAAAACAAGAATTGTTGAGCAGTTTAAAAAATGCTTTATCCGTTTCATTCTTAGCTTTTTTTCTTTTCTGTGTATTAAACTCAATGAACGGTTTCAACCAGGGAGATTAAGTGAATTGAATGGCTCTGTGAATTTTGACGAGATTTTAATCCTTGAGATATATAAAACTGTAAATTTCCATAGTGAATGACATACTTTTCTTTATCAAATAAATTGGAGACTAGCTTTTTGCAAGGTTTCCCTTTGTTTTTCAATTCCTTTTTCAAGTTTTTAGAGTGAGGGGAGAGCATTTCATGACTGAGTACCATGGGTTCAGGGGCCAGGGGATAATCACTATGAGTGTCATGGAGGTTCGGGGGATACTCCAGATCTACCTCTAATATGTATCCCACATCTGCATTTTCATCTGCATTCATAATGTCTAATGTCTCTATGTCATCGGCAGACACCCACTGAAAATCGCGCTCGGGCAGTGGTTGTGACATTGCCCACCCATAGAGGTTATTGGCATCCCAATACATGAGATAACTTGTGGGTTCTTTTGATTAATGTTCTAATGTTTTTAAACTCAGGATTATTGGCTTCAGCATATTTCTTGGAAATCTTTGAAATCCCTCCTCTGAGACCCTTGTCTATCATGAGATGCATGTCGTAGTCTGTTAACAATTCCAACTCGACATTTCCCATTTTAAGCATAGCATCCCATCCCATTCCGGGTAAAGTGTAATAATGAGCAGGGTCTAGGTCATAGAATTCCATAGTGGCCCTGAAATTCTCAAATACATCAGCCAAAAGCAAAACATCAGTTTTCATATACAAGTCATGATACTCTCCCATGTTTTTCACATGAAAAGTTGACCACACCTTGTTGGCATGATCATAGTCATCATCGGATATATGACTATCTGTCAATGCACTAAAAAAATCTTCCTTCGAAAGTTCAGCCAAGTTGAATTTACTTTCATCAGCCATGAAGTCATACGGGTGTACCCCTTTTCTCAGTAGAAGTTCAAATTGTCCACTATCAGATGTTTCCTGTTTTAGATGTTTGAATTTAGATTTGGCCTTCACCATGTCGAGAATTCCAGACTCATCCATGCAATCATTGTTCATGTTTTTGACTAGTTTGTCTAAGGGAGGTAAATAGAGCTTAAATATTTATCAACTACATAGCCTATCATAACTACAGAGACGGGCCTGAGTTACCCTTAATAACAAACGTGCATGTGTGTTTATGTTAACCCGTGGATACAGCTGACTGCCTTCATTGTATACCGTCCGGCGACGTGACCTCGTTTCACACTCACTGTATATGATAGAGGCTGTTTCACAAATACATTGCTTCACTGAAAACATAATTGGGACTCATAGCCCTGCGCGATAAACCAGTCCATTCAAGCGCGCTTTCATTGGCTGTAGGCGTGACATGTTGAGACACGGACGGCTAGGACTAACCCGTGTTATACACAAAGCGAGGTTCCCTTGTTTAGAGTTATATGGTCAGCCTCGTTTAACTATATCTTTCGTTAAATTGATGATCATTTCCACGCTTATTATTGTTTTCCCTTACACTTATACATATATTGTCTCAACCCAAAACAGTTCAAGATTATGCTGATACACGATCAACACGTCACACATCTATTTTTAGTACGAAGGCATTCCCCTGTTACTATAAATAATGAAAACTCCCGGTCCAGAACGCCCTTTTTACTATCATCAGCAAACTCCCATTCAGCTTTGCCCTGAGCAATATGCTGCTTGCCATAAAACGAGAATTGATTCAATTTTAATTGATTTACAATTCTGTATTATTTTTTTTGCGAGCATGTTTGATGGTGGCTAAAACTGAAACGAAAATTGTTAGTCGATGGTGAGCGCAGCCTTTTAACAACAAACAAAAAAAAACAGCATAAAACACCATGTCCAGAAGGATGCACAGCTAAGTACCCCCTGTTACCTGAACTACAATGTAGGTAAGGGCGGTGGGGTAGCCTAGTGGTTAAAGCGTTCGCTCAACACGCCGAAGACCCGGGTTCGATTCCCGACATGGGTACAATGAGTGGAGCCCATTTCTGGTGTCGTAAAAGGCGACTAACGGGATCGGGGACTAACGGTATCGGGTTGTCAGGCTTGCTGACTTGGTTGAAGCATGTCATCGATCCCAATTGCGTGGATCGATGCTCATGATATCAATCACTGGATTGTCTGGTCCAGACTCGATTATTTACAGACCGCCGTCATGTAGCTGGAATATTGCTGAGTGCGGCGTTAAACAACAAACCAATCTGCCGTGATATTGCTCGAATATCGCTATAAGCGGCGTAAAACCATACTCACTCACTTAACTAGGTAATGGAACAGCCCAGGAACAGAATGATATAACACCACACGCGTCAAATTATTATTTATTGTGATCTCATTCTATAATTTGATAATGAATAGAACCATTGAGGTTAAAAACAATGTTCGATTAGCACCACATTACACTTCCTGTTCAGTAATAGTTCAAGAGAGTACTAAGACCACGTCGGATAAGGTTGTCGACAGCATCCATAAAGTGTGAAGAGTGCATCTTTGCGACGTAATATATTCTACTTTGTGTATTCCAGATAAGTGATTGATTTATAACTCTGTATTTTCAAAGATTTGACGTTTTGTCTAAACAAAAGAAAATATACACCCCTGTTTAATGGTGGCTAAAAGGTTTTAACAAAAATGGTTAGTCGATGTCAAACCAACAAATAGCTTAAAACACCATGCCCAGATGGATGCACAGCTAAATACCCCCTGTTACCTTAACTACAATGTAGGTAAGGGCGGTCGGGTAGCCTAGTGGTTAAAACCCGGGTTCAATTCCTGCCATAGGTACAAGTGTGAAGCCCATTTCTGGTGTCCCCCGCCGTGACATTGCTGGAATATTGCTAAAAGCGGCGTAAAACCATACTCACTCACTCACTTAACTATTAATGAAACATCCCAGGAACAAAATTATGTAACAACACACAAGTCCGTATATTATTTATTGTGATCTCATTCTATACTTTGATAATGAAAAGAACCATTTAGGTTAAATAACAGTATTCGATTAGCATCACATCTCACTTCTTGTTCACTAATACAGTAAAAATTTCAGCTATAACGAACTGACGGATATAACGAAGTTACTTCTTTGGTCCCGACTATTGGCTGTAGTTATGCTGTATATATATATATATATATATATATATATATATATATGCTTATAACGAACTAAAATTAGCAGTCCCTTTAAGTTCGTTATAACCGTAGTTTACTGTAGTTCACCAAGACCAAGTCGGATAAGGCTGCCGACAGCATCCATAAAATGTGAAGAGTGCATCTTTGCGACGTAATATATTCTACTTTGTGTATTCCAGATAAGTGCAATTAAGGAATCTAGACCGATTTTCTGATGTGGTCTTTAATGAACCTTGAGACAGCGTGACCATGTTTCACATGAATATTTTGGTGAAAACAAGGGTCATGAGCAGGGATGAAACGGAAATCACCACTCTTCCTGAACCTGAAACAAAGAACAAGCACCATGGAACAAGCAACCATATAAGGTGGAAAATATCGTTGCGGCAACGTAACCAAAGACGACATAATTCAACAAGCGTGCTCTGAGTGAGTGAGAGAGTAAAAAGTTAACGTCGCATCGGCATTATTTCAGACATATAGCGACGAGACCAAGCTAATATATACACAATTTAGTTATTTATGCAATGTCATATTTAAAAACAATTGATGAAAATTGATGGACAGAGCCTTTAATAATGTCAGTTGCTAATAGCATCACACCAAATTTAAAAACAAGCATTTAATTATTCACATACATATTTTAGATTTATTATACAGACCAATTTCTTTCAAGTAGTTTATGATGAGATGCCCGCTGACACGGGAAAAGAGAACTTTTAGATTTACACTTTGATAATGTGAATCCCTTGCGAAGCAATATATGCTTGACCAATATCCCCAGCATGATTTTTTTTAACGTGTCAAATGAAGCTCCGTAAAACAGGGGCAGTAACTCTGACAAAATTAGTCGAAATGAAACGGGACTGCGATATGCGTATCATCAACATGTAGACATCTTGTGTGTAGAGTGTCAGGGATATTCTCTGGAAACTGTAGGAGGAGTTGATTTCACAAGCCTAGTACCCTCTCTCACAATTAGTAACTGAAGCTCCGTAAAACAGGGGCAGTAACTCTGTCAAAATTAGTCGAAATAAATCAGGACTACGATATGCGCATCATCAACATGTCGACATCTTGTGTGTAGAGTGTCAGGGATATTCTCTGGAAACTGTAAGAGTAGTTGATTTCACAAGCTTAGTACCCTCTGTGGGGCGGACAGACAGACGGACGGACGGACTGCGCCACGACATAATCCCCCTTCGGCCATTCTGGCCCGGCCGGAGATAACAAAAGACAGTTTTCTGAAAGCTTTGGAATGGTTGGTTTGGTGTTTAACGCCGCACTCAGCAATATTCCAGCTATATGACGGCGGTCTGTAAATAATCGAGTCTGGACCAGACAATCCAGTGATTGATATCATGAGCATCGATCCACGCAATTGGGATCGATGACATGCATCAACCAAGTCAGCGAGCTTGACCACCCGATCCCGTTAATCGCCTTTAACGACAAGCATAGTCACCTTTTACGGTCCACGACGAGGTAACGTATGTTAGATACCAGAGATGCCTCTAATACACGCATATGACCATATTTCATTAATCTATTTTTAAAAGTAAACCTCCTTACATTAAAGATAACTATTTAAAGAATATAGTACTTAAAGACATTGCAACAAACCGAATAATCAGGGGGGAGACTTTATACTGAGGGGGACGCGAAATATATCCGCCTGGGGGAGATTTTATTTCAGTACAGATTTTCCGGGGGGGGAATTTGTAAGGGGGAGAGTTTATACCGGGACACCGGCACCCATGAAGATCCGGGGTGGAATAGGTCTGTAGCAACCCATGCTTCCCGTAAAAGGCGACTCCGCTTTTCGTAAGAGTCGACTAACGGGATCGGGTGGTCAGGCACGCTGACTTGGTTAAAGGATGGCATCGATCCCAATTGCATGGATCGAGTCTCATGTCAGTCACTGGATTGTCTGGTCTAGAATGGATTATTTGCAGATCGCCGTCAAATAACAGGAATATTGCTGAGTGCGGCAAACAAACAAATAAATCCAATAGCAAAACGGTCACATGTCTCGGGTGGTCGCTCTAATAGCGGTTCGTTCTCTTATACACGACGGGTCTTGGCTGAAGAGGGGTCATTATGAGTCAAAACCTACACGCCAGCCGCATCATTTATTGGAGGAAATAATTTACATATCCTTACCGCAGCCTTGTAGTTTCAATGCTGTTGTCACGGGGCCAGCTTGTGGACAGCTGCTGCCCAAACAGTCACGGTATGTGCGACCGGCACTGAAATAAATCACCAAATTTAATGCTTATCCGTCTTACAAAGGGACTTTCGTTCATGCGACAAGTTCATCATCCTGTTACCGTGCAGGTGCTAGATCACGTATTTGCCTTGCGAACAACATCGGTGACCCAACAAACCCAGTATTTTGTTTGTTTGTTGTTTTACGCCGCACTCAGCAATATTACAGCTATGTGACGGAGGTCTGTAAATAATCGAGTCTGGACCAGACAATCCAGTGATTGATATCATGAGCATCGATCCACGCAATTGGTATCGATGACATGCATCAACCAAATCAGCGAGCCAGACCACCCGATCCCGTTAGTCACCTTGTACGGCAAGCATGGGTTGACGAAGACCTATTCTACCCCGGAATCTTCACGGGTCACAAACCTAATATATAGAACAAACCTAATGCGTGCATTACCTTTCACGATAGTATTAAATAGTTTTTCACAAGAAGGTTTCTCGTTTTGTTTCACACAAAATATACTTCATATTCCAGCAGACAAAATGTATTTCTTGCAACAAATTTTCACTTTTTTAACTGGTCAGAAACTCCTTATTGCTCAATTGGGATTCAGTTTACGAAGTAACTGACCCGTGAAGGTTCCGGGGTAGAATAGGTCTTCAGCAACCCATGCTTGCCGTAAAAGGTGACTGGTTGTCGTAAAAGGCAACTAACGGGATCGGGTGGTCAGGCTTGGTGACTTGGTTGATGCATGTCATCGATCCCAATTGCGTGGATCGATCACTGGATTGTCTGTTCCAGACTCGATTATTTACAGACCGCCGTCATATAGCTGGAATATTGCTGAGTGTGGCGTTAAACAACAAACCAAACAACCATGCGACAAGTATATCATCCTGGTACCGTGCAGGTGCTAGATCACGTATTTGCCTTGCGAACAACATCGGTGACTAAACAAACCCAATATTTTGTTTGTTTGTTGTTAAACGCCGCACTCAGTAAAAGGTGACTATGATTGTCGTAAAAGGCGACTAACGGGATCGGGTGGTCAGTCTCGCTGACTTGGTTGATGCATGTCATCGATCCCAATTGCGTGGATCCATACTCATGATATTTATCACTGGATTCTCTGGTCAAGACTCGATTATTTACAGACCGCCGTCATATAGCTGGAATATTGCTGAGTGCGGCGTTAATCAACAAACCAACCAACCAACTACGAAGTAACTGTCTACCTGCAAATCCTGTCCTTTTCTCTACTCGCAAGTGCACCAGTGTACGCCTGTTGTTGCGACGTACACCCAGAAATATTGCAACCAGATTGTGCGGTTGCAAAAACAACTGAAACACAAGAAAACAACATTATCACTATCCCCACCCAAGGGGCACGTTAGAAATGCGTTTGTATATATAGTAGTGAATATTTATGGCGCTGGGGAGGATAGCTCCAGAAATATACCGCCATTTATTCTTTAACTCAATCTTCACAAGTTCACAGAGAACAACTGTAAATGGCCAAACTGAACGAACTGAATTTTTTCATTAAACCTACCACAAGGGGAGTAGGCTGGACTGTGTGGTTTTTGCAATAATTCACCATATACCTTGTATTAATCACTGGATTGTCTGGTCCAGACTCGATTATTTTACAGACCGCCGTCATATAGCTGGAATATTGCTGAGTGCGGCGTTAAACAACAAACAAACAAACAAACCTCGTACAAGTTCCTTTATCAAGTGTCACACATCCCTAATGGGCAATTATGGTAACGGTTCTGAGACAACCCTGCGGCTGGATAATTTTTTAGAAAATCCAAAGTAGCATAACAATGTCAGTATTCTGTTAATATAGGTGAAACGTTTCATAGAAAATATGTTTTAATAATTATGGATATATGATATATGATAAACATTCGATGCAACTTGATTATTTTCTTACAACAAAATAAATACTATAATCTCAATGATTTTAAGGAAACTACGGCGTCATCATTTGAAGGAACGGTTAACATACATCCTAGTCATCCAAAAAACGGGGAATTTCAGAGAGTACTATCAAATCACGTCAGTGTTCAAAGTATCGCAAAAAGCAACACATGGGATGGGTGTGACTTTATCGGTGACTGTCGTAAGTGGCGACTAACGTGATCTAGTGGTGAGGCTCGCTGACTTGGTTAATGCTTTGGTTGGTTTGTTGTTTACGCCGCACTCCGTGGGTATAATATTGGCCATTTAAACGTGGGTTTTCAAGCATTTACATAGGCGTTGGCCGTATGGTAACACTTAAACAGCGCTAGCATCAATAGTACTCACCAAACAGACACAAGGTAGCAGCTAGAAGCAGGCAGTTCATGTTGATCGGTAGTTCAAAAGAAATCTAACCACGTCAATATCGCATTCATATTTATAGCTAAAGGTTAAAAGGGGTGTCAAATATTTGAACGAATCGTATTTTGACACATGTGATAATTTCACAATTCTTGTTTGCACACTAACCAACATATATTGTGAAATTGGTACATCTTCCTGTTTGAATTATCGCAATTTCGAAGTCAGGTGACGAGGAACCCAGTTGGTAGAATAACAATGATGTGTTGCAACAGTATGTAGATATGTGAAAATAGTACTGAGTCCTCAATGCATATTTCACGGTAGCTAATTCTTCTCACAAGCATCATTGTTGTACGTATTACACCCATACAGGACTTGGGCGTAGCTTTCGAACATTATTTTCCGCGTCAAATATTTTGATACCACCGAATGGTCAGCCTCGGTTCACGTGACTTCGGTTGATTGTGCACCATCGTTCAGCATGGGAAGTTGTTTGTAATACCAACCACGAGTATTTCTGACCATGACGTCATTAATTACAGGCCACTGTAATATAGAATATTAATGAGTGCGGCTTCAAACCACAAACACTTTTTTCAATTGAAGATTTAATTTAATTATACAGATATATCTGTTGCACCTTGATAGTTCGATGTGCGATTTTGGGACATTAAAGAACAAGGCACAAAAAGAAACTACATATATGATTTTATCACATGGTCAATGTCTTTCGGTGACTAGTGTAAAATGCTGATAAGACCAGTGAAGATTCCGGGGTAGAATAGGCCTTAGCAACCCATGCTTGTTGTAAAAGGCGACAAACGGGATCGGTCGGTCAGGCTCGCTGACTCGGTTGATGCATGTCATCAATCCCAATTGCGTGGATCGATGATCATAATATCAATGACTGGATTGTCTGGTCCACACTCGATTACAGACCGCCGTCATATAGCTGGAATATTGCTGAGTGCGGCGTTAAACAACAAACCAAACCTAAACTGCTGATACAGAACACGATTCATTAAGGCATAGTGTATTACATTGTCCTCACTATGAAGAACTTAGGCTTCATCTTATTTCGAAATGTCGTTACGTATATCTTCTGATTTTGATAGTTTTAGTGATTTAGGGAAAGTAGGTTACATACTGTCCAGCCTAGAATTGATTTTTACAACTGCCAAGACCTGCAAGAATATTTTAATAACCAGATCGGATGCGTTACACCATGAATGACTATAGACTATTCTCATTTGTGAATAGCCTGGTACAGTCATTTTTATCTGTGTAATATATGTGGAAAGGTATTGTGGTTTTAACAAATGTGTTATAGTCTCTCATAACTCAGTAGGCAGTGGCTCGTTAGCATATATTGTCGCCTTGCCGTAAAAGGCGACTAACGGGATCGGGTGGTCATCCTCGTTGACTTGGTTGATGCATGTCATCGATCCCAATTGCGTGGATCGATGCTCATGATGTCATTCACTGGATTGTCTGGTCCAGACTCCATTATTTACAGACCGCCGTCATGTAGCTGGAATATTGCTGAGTACGGCGTTAAACAACAACTAAACAAACAAACTATATTTTTTTCACTGAGACATTTGTAAAGAATTTATTCCCAATGTATTATATATGAAAAGAGTTGAGACTCAAATACATTATCCGTCTGTCTGTCTGCAATTATCTTGGTGCAAAAAAACATCTAAAAGACGCCGATGTACCTGAGAAGATTTTTATTAATGGTACAATTTACAATCATGCCCTCTTTAATAACGACATGCTCGGGTCTGTACATGTCCCTGGCATTGGACTGAATTCTTTCAACGATGCCCTGACAGACAGTGTGTCTAAACAGACCACCTTCGTAGCCTATAGAGCGTCCGCCCGGAATGTCGGTAGTTTGATCCCCGGCCAAAAGACGTCATTGATATTACCCTGTTTCGTGCTCCGCACTAAGGGGCTGAAACAATATTGGTCGGATAGGAGTCAGTATATATTGACCCCTATATCAGTCTGAGTGGGGTGTCCATTATCAACTGAGGCATGGTGTCTCAGTGGGCTTGCCTATAAGTCGACATTAGAAGAGTGAGTGAGTGTGAGTCTCAGGCGTTTATCCCCCTCCCCCCAACCCACACACAACAGCACCGATGGAGAGTCCACACTTTCATCCATATTGAACGTATCTAAATGCCTACTTAATATTTATACCACCACAACTGACTGTTACATTTATCATACACACACACGCACGTCGCTGTATAAGTGCAATAAGCTTGAACGCGACGTTAAACCGCACATCACTTCACCCCCATCTCCCCTCCCCTCATAGCCCTATGACATGGTGATGCGACCCGTGAAGACCCGGGGTAGAATAGGTCTTCAGCAACCCATGCTTGCCGTAAAAGGCGACTTTGCTTGTCGTAAAAGGCGATTAACGGGATCGGCTGGTCAGGCTCGCTTACTTGGTTGATGCATGTCATAGATCCCAATTGCGTGGATCGATGCTCATGATATTAATCACTGGATTGTCTGGTCCAGACTCGATTATTTACAGGCCGTCGTTATATAGCTGGAATAGTGCTGAGTGCGGCGTAAAACAACAACCCAACCAACCAACATGGTGATGCTCAGGCTGTCCTCCACTGATTTACTTGGTTCAGACAGGATTATTATCAGATAACCATGGCCTTATATACTGTGAGTGAGTTACTGCAAAAACACATCTGTCACTCCCCGATTTTTGTTTTGTTCCGAGGGCATTCATGATCAAGGCTTAAATCTGTCCGCAATATCGTAAGCATTTGCGTCAAATCATGTGAATTGTATCTGTTCACATGAGGAAAGTCATAAAAATTTGAAGCAAATATGAATATCGCCATCAGCATTCACACATTATATAGTTAAACCTCCTGGTGTATTGTATGCACTGTGACGTTAGCAGATAGGGAAATTGCTCCGCTACGAAAGCCTATTGGGGCCAAATTTATTGATAACATTTTTTTTATTTAAAAGTTGTAATTACAAGTTGTAAAGTTGTAATTACAAGTTATAAAGGTGTAATTACAAGTTAAAAAGGTGTAAATACAAGTTTAGAAATGGAAATAACAAGTTTTTAAAGGTGTAATTACAGGTTTGAAAAGGTGTACTACGAAAGCCTATTAGGGCCAAATTCATTGATAACATTTAATTTTTATTTAAAAGTTGTAATTACACCTTTAGAAATTTGTAATAACACCTTTACAAGTTGTAATCACACCTTGAGAAACTTGTAAATACACCTTTATAACTTGAAATTACACCTTTACAACTTGTAATTACAAGTTTTAAATAAAAAATGTTATCAATGAATTTGGCCCTAATAGGCTTTCGTACTCCGTACAGGAAAAATATTTGAGGAAACCTTTTACAATGTTCAGTTAACACTTTCATACAATGAAGATTCAACTCTATTTTTTTAGATTCGTATTGCTAAAGAATAAACGTGTTTTTTAGAATTATAGACAGTGGGCATACCCGCTTAAATAAGTAAACAGCATGTGTTTGAGAAGGCCGTGAACACTAACGGAGTACTGCAGCTGGAAACATCGAAACTTGAGTTTTGTTTGTTTGTTTGTTTAACGCCACACTCAGCAATATTCCAGCTATATGACGGCGGTCTGTAAATACTCGAGTCTGGACCAGATAATCCAGTGATTGCCATGAGCATCGAACTAAGCCATTGGGATACGATGACATGTATCAACCAAGCCAGCGACCACCCCATATCCCGTTAGTCGCCTATTACGACAAGCATAGGCGCCTTTTATGGCAAACCTTGGTTGCAGAAGACCCATTCTACCTAGATCTTCAGGAGTCGCAGAACGTTACAGCAAATTCCCGTTCAGCTTTTCCCTGAGCATTATGCTACTTGTCGAAAAATGGGAATTAATTCGATTTTTAGTTGATTTATAACTCTGTATTTTAAAAGATTTGACGTTTTGTCTAAACAAAAGAAAATATACACCCCTGTTAAATGGTGTCTAAAAGGTTTAAACAAAAATGGTTAGTCGATGTCAAACCAACAAATAGCTTAAAACACCATGCCCAGATGGATGCACAGCTAAATACCCCCTGTTACCTTAACTACAATGTAGGTAAGGGCGGTCGGGTAGCCTAGTGGTTAAAACCCGGGTTCAATTCCTGCCATAGGTACAAGTGTGAAGCCCATTTCTGGTGTCCCCCGCCGTGACATTGCTGGAATATTGCTAAAAGCGGCGTAAAACCATACTCACTCACTCACTTAACTATTAATGAAACATCCCAGGAACAGAATTATGTAACAACACACAAGTCCGTATACTATTTATTGTGATCTCATTCTATACTTTGATAATGAATAGAACCATTTAGGTTAAATAACAGTATTCGATTAGCATCACATCTCACTTCTTGTTCACTAATACAGTAAAAATTTCGGCTATAACGAACACGCTTATAACGAACTGACGGATATAACGAAGTTACTTCTTTGGTCCCGACTATTGGCTGTAGTTATGCTGTATATATATATATATATATGCTTATAACGAACTAAAATTAGCAGTCCCTTTAAGTTCGTTATAACCGTAGTTTACTGTAGTTCACCAAGACCAAGTCGGATAAGGCTGCCGACAGCATCCATAAAATGTGAAGAGTGCATCTTTGCGACGTACTATATTCTACTTTGTGTAACCCAGATAAGTGCAATTAAGGAATTTAGACCGATTTTCTGATGTGGTCTTTAATGGTCCTTGAGACAGTGTGACCATGTTTCACACGAATATTTTGGTGAAAACAAGCGTCATGAGCAGGGATGAAACTGAAATCACCACTCTTCCTGAACCTGAACCTGAAACAAAGAACAAGCAACATGGAACAATTAAGCAACCATATAAGGTGGCAAATATCGTTGCGGCAACGTAACCAAAGACGAGATAATTTAACAAGAGTGCTCTGAGAGCACAACATACCCAGCATGAATTTTTTTTAACGTGTCAAATGAAGCTCCATAAAACAGGGGCAAAATTAGTCGAAATGAAACGGGACTGCGATATGCGTATCATCAACATGTCGACATTGTGTGTGTAGTGTCAGGGATATTCTCTGGAATCTGCAGGAGTTGATTTCACAAGCTTAGTACCCTCTCTCACAATTAGTCAAATGAAGCTCCGTAAAACGGGCAGTAACTCTTGACAAAATTAGTCGAAATGAAACGGGACTGCGATATGCGTATCATCAACATGTCGACATTGTGTGTGTAGTGTCAGGGATATTCTCTGGAATCTGTAGGAGGAGTTGATTTCACAAGCTTAGTACCCTCTCTCACAATTAGTCAAATGAAGCTCCGTAAAACGGGCAGTAACTCTTGACAAAATTAGTCGAAATGAAACGGGACTGCGATATGCGTATCATCAACATGTCGACATTGTGTGTGTAGTGTCAGGGATATTCTCTGGAAACTGTAGGAGGAGTAGATTTCACAAGCTCAGTACCCTCTCTCACAATTTGTCAAATGAAGCTCCGTAAAACGGGCAGTAACTCTGACAAAAATAGTCGAAATGAAACGGGACTGCGATATGCGTATCATCAACATGTCGACATCTTGTATGCATAGTTTCAGGGATATTCTCCGGAAACTGTAGGAGGAGTTGATTTCACAAGCTTAGTACCCTTTGTGGGACGGACTGCGCCACGACATAATCCCCCTTCGGCCATTCTGGCCCGGCGGGAGATAACAAAAGACAGTTTTCTGAAAGCTCTGGATTGGTTGGTTTGTTGTTTAACGCCGCACTCAGCAATCTTCCAGCTATATGACGGCGGTCTGTAAATAATCGAGTCAGGACCAGACAATCCAGTGATTGATATCATGAGCATCGATCCACACAATTGGGATCGATGACATGCATCAACCAAGTCACCGAGCCTGACCACCCGATCCCGTTAGTCGCCTTTTACGATCAGCATAGTCACCTTTAACGGTCCACGACGAGGTAACGTATGTTAGATACCAGAGATGCCTCTAATACACGTATATGACCATATTTCATAATCTATTTTTTAAAGTAACCCTCCTTACATTAAAGTGAGTGAGTGAGTTAAAATTTAACGTCGCATCGGCATTATTTCAGCCATTTAGCGACGAGACCAAGCTAGTATATACACAATTTAGTGATTTATGCAATGTCATATTTAAAAACAATTGATGTAAATTGATGGACAGAGCCTTTAATAATGTCAGTTGCTAATAGCATCACACCAAATTTAAAAACAAGCATTTAATTATTCACATACATATTTATAATTTATTATACAGACGAATTTCTTTCAAGTAAATTATGATGAGATGCCCGCTGACACGGGAAAACAGATCTTTTAGATTTACACTTTCATAATGTGAATCCCTTGCGATTGCAAAGTCCACACAGTCAAGCAATATATGCTTGACGGTGAACCTTTCACCACGAGGGATACACTTAGGAGGTTCGTCCTCATCTGTCTTTAAGCAGATATTCGGCCAATACGACACCGTCGTAAAACGACCTCGTCATGTCTTGACTGACAACCCAAGTAGGAATGACCGATTGTTGGTTTCACTTCGTGTAGTTTATTGCTTCCTACTTGGGTGTCCCACCTCTTTTGCATGAGATCCCGAGTATAAGATTTAATGGTTGGTTTGAAATCACAGTATGGGATAAAGAGTGGAGACAACGGTTTGTCAAGAGCTGCTTTAGCTGCAGTATCGGCTTTTGAGTTACCTATTATGCCTACATGACTTGGTAACCAGCAAAAGACGATGTCACATTGGCCAATAGAAAGATCATTTTAGAGTTCTAAAATGTCAAGGAATATAGGATGATTTGAGGAGATACTTTTAAGTGCTCAAAGGCATGATAATAAATCGGAGGAAATGATGACATTTTTGGATTGGTTTTGATGTTTGATATAGGTCAAAGCTGTCAAGATAGCTTTGGCCTCAGCAGTAAAAATTTAACTAGTACCTGGTATTCTTGAGGAGACAGTTCTGGATCCAATGACGGTGGCACTTGCAACCATCCTAGGACCCGTCTGTAAAAATGGACCTGTGAGAATTATATTTGGAGCGTAATTTGTTATATGATTGTTGATATACCAAAGGATTGGTATCCGACTTTTATATTTAAATCCAATTTAGCTGTAGTGATGTGTAGTTGAATTCTGATTCCAAGTGGTGGAACCAGGTTTGATAGATTTTGAAACAGGTTTTCATTTTGAGGGTGGAACACACAATTGTATGCTGGATTAGATTTATTTGAGTGCAATTTAGTGATATATTGCAGTGAAAGTTTAATGCGACGCAGTTCAAGTGAAGGTTCATCGGCCTCCACATACAAACTGTCCACGGGAGAGAGTCTTAGGGCTTGATGGTGTACAGTGTCCAATTTTTCTAAATTGCTTTTGCAGGCTCCACCATAGACAATGGAACCATAGTCCAGTTTGGAGCGTATTAACGATCTGTACAAGTGAAGGAGGGTGGTCTGAGGACTTTTAACAAGTCGAGAGCCTTCAGGCACTTGAGACATTTATTGTGTGGTAAGAATGTGAGATGACGGTCAAATATGAGGCCCAGGAATTTGGCCTCCTCTACTACCTCGATAAGAGTACCATTTAAAAATAAATCTAGATCCTTGTGAGGTTTGTATTTACGACAAAAGTGAATACAGTTTGTTTTGGATTTAGAAAATTTGAAGCCGTTTTCGTTGGCCCATTTTTGAATTTTGTTTAGACAGAGCTGTAGCTGTCTTTCTATTGTATTCATATTCTTACCACGACAAGAAAGGTTGAAATCGTCCACAAAAAGTGAACCATCAACGCTATTGTTTAATACTTTAGTGAGACTTAATTTTGATGCTGAAAAGCGTGACTGACAGTATGCTGCCTTGAGGGACGCCCTGGTCTTGATCAAATTGATCAGACAGGGTAGAGCCCACTCGTACTTGAAATTGTCTGTTGTTTAAAAATTGAGATATGAACTGAGGTAATCTGCCCCTCAATCCAAATTCATGCAAATCTTTTAAAATACCATGTTTCCACGTTGTATCAAATGCTAGATCGAAAAAGATTGATACAGTATGTTGACAATGGAATTTTTAATAAACGATTCAAAACGCACCAAATGGTCAATGGTACTTCTGTTTTTTCGAAAAACCACACTGGATGTCAATCAGGAGGTTATTGGTCTCCAGGTACCAGACTAATCGATTGTTGACCATTCGCTCCATGGTTTTGCAAACACAGCTAGTTAATTATATTAGATGGTAGTTGGATGGATCTGTGTGATCCCGTCCAGGCTTTGGAATAGGAATAATAATAGCATTGTGCCACGAAAGAGGGGAATTTCCGGTTGTCCATATTTCATCAAATATATTAAGTAAAGTTTCCAAACATGAATCGGGCAAGTGTTTCAGGAGCTGATAGTGGATGTTGTCTGCTCCCGCTGCAGTGTCATGAGATTGTCCTTGGGCAGTATATAATTCATGGAGTGAAAATGTTTCGTTATAGTCCTCACCATTATCAGAGTTAAAATTTACTGGTTTCTTTTCCTACTGTTTTTGAAACCTCTGAAATATTGGGGATTATAGTTTGATGATGAGGAATGGTTTGCCAAAGTTTCACCAAGTTTGTTGGCAATTTCGGATTTAGTAGTTAAAAGTGTATTACCATCTTTGAGATGGTGAACTCCAGATTTTGACCCTTTTCACTGAATCTTTTGAATCATGTTCCACACCTTGGACATAGGTGTGCGGGAATTAATTTTTGAAACATAGTTCCTCCATTATTGACGTTTATTCTGTTTAAAGGTACGTCTCGCTTTAGCGCCCATGATTTTTACGTTATTCAAATTGTGGACAGTAGGATGTCGTCGGAAATATTTTTCAGCTTTCTTCCTATTTTTCCTAGCTTGTTTACAAGTATTATCGAACCATGGTTTACGTATATGGGGGTTTGCAGAGGACTTAGGAATGCTTTCGTCTCTAATATCATTTAATTTATCTGAAAAAAGTTGTATAGGATCAGGAACATTCCTGAAACTTTCAGGTTTTATTTTTTCAGAACATAGTGTTTGGAATAAAGACCAATCGGCCTTTGTAAAGTTCCAACTTGTTGAAGGTGGTTCGTCAGACGGATTTATAGTTGTAAGTATTGTTGGAAAATGGTCACTTCCACAAAGGTCATCATGGACCGACCATTCGAATTCATTTAAAATATTTGAATCTGTCAGTGAAAGGTCAAGAGCAGAGTATGTGCCAGTGGCGGGATGAAGAAATGTGGTATTACCATCATTGAAGATACATAAATCATTGTTTGAGATAAAATCTTCAAGGACTTTTCCCTCATTTTTTATGTCAGTACTTGCCCACAAGGGATTATGACCGTTTAAATCGCCCATGATGATACAGGGCTTCGGGAGCTGATCGTACAAAGTCTGAAGATCTGATTGACGGATAGTTGAGGAAGGTAGAAGATACAATGAACATAATGTAAACACTTTGTTCAAAGTAACACGGACAGCAACGGCTTGTAGAGTTGTATTGAGTGGAACAGGGCTATGGATAGTATCCTGCTTCACAAGGATAGAGGCACCTCCTGTAGCTTTATCACCAGGAGGGGAAAACGAGTGGTAAGAATTGTACTGACGGATATCAAATAGATCTGTGTTTTTTAGATATGTTTTTTTGGAGACAAAAAGCTGACGGTTTAAAATCTTGGATTAAAAGTTGTATTTCATTAAAATTCTTCTTAAGACCTCTGCAATTCCATTGTATTATATTTTGTGGATTCATGGTGGTGCTTCCACGGGAGAAATGTCACGCGAACGTGAGTAAGACTTTGTGGTACTCCCATCGGTATCATTTGGAGATGGAGTTACCTCCATGTCCAGAGGACCAAAGAGTTATGGACCTCTACTGGGACTTCTAAAGGAGAGGTGGCCTTGGTGTTTGCAGCTGTTCTCTCACCTGCTTCTTTTTCAATAATTTCTTTTCCCTGTTTGACAGTTTAACTGGTTCTGGTTATGATGTTGCTTTAGGAGTCTGAGACTCAACACTTTTTACAGTTTTTTGTTTAGGAGGAGTCACAGACGTATGTGTCACAGCTGGTTTAACGAGTGAAGCAGTAGGAAGTGGCTGCGCAGACTTGACCCATGTCAGATCAGTCTGGCAGTCGATAGAGGTGGTGACAAGAGGACGAGAGACAGCAGCAGAGTAAGAGATAGAAGAAGTAGTTGCAGTAGAACCTGCAACCGTCCTCTTAGCTTCATAGTAGGAGAGGTTTTGCTCAGTAATTCATGTTGCCAGACAGGGCAGTATTTGGAAGATGCCATATGGTTCCCACCACAGTTTGAACACTTCACATCTTTCCTGCAGTCAGTGGCCTCATGTTTGTCACCGCAGCGGTAACAGACAGCAGAGGCACGGCAGGACTTGGACCCATGTCCAAACGCTTGGCAGGTGTAGCACCGGAGTGGATTGGGATACACACCTCCACTCCGATGTTACAATAACCGGCTTTGATTGATTGTGGAAACTTCGAACGGGCGAAAGTAAAGAGATGGGTGTTGGTCTCTACAACCACACCATCCTTTTTGACCGTGAATCGTTTAACAGCTGTGACAGACTGTTGGAAAAGTTCTTTGACTATTTCATCCTCGGTCATGCCGGACAGACAGCGAGCCCTGTCACGGACAATTCCCTTGCATGAGTTCAGTGCCCTGTGTTCACAGACAGCAACCTTGATATTTACAAACTCTTTCAAACCGAGAAGATTGATGGATTGCTGTCTCTATGCACATTCCACAAGGAGAGAACCGGATCGAAGCTTGGTGACATTTGTAACCTTTCCGCAGGCACCAGCGATACCTTTGGAGATTGCAAACGGATTTAGTTTTATTGGTTCTTTGTCACAAGCTTCGATAATCAAAATACGTGGCCAATAGTCAGATCGGTTGGTGGTATTTTCGTCAGGTGAATTGTCAGATTCAATGTATCTACGTTTTGAACCAGGGTGTTGGGAAGCCATGTCGAAAGAAAAATGATTCGGCACCCCTTTTCCCCACCCACCATGGAGTGTCTACAAGGACAGTCTTATGCTGCAACGGATTTCCAAGCTGCAAAGACTGGGGATAAAGGGGTGTTATACTCCAGCAAATTTGACACGAAGAGCTATAGCATTCTACCAAATTAAAGGTCAGGCTGGTTCGGCCCATGACAATCAATTGGAGAAGTACAGAATTAGGAGGTCAACATCACCAGATTGGCCCATGAGCCACCGCCTTCTGGGTATAAGACTCTAAGCAAGTTTTATAGATTTTTAGATATGATATACATTTAGGTTAAAATTATTTTTTTTAACATCAAAAGTGTGCATGAAATATTTTATGCACAGGGCATGACGTGACCAGCCGATTGATAGAATCGGGCCCATTCTACCGCCCGTCAGGGCAAAGTTATGTTCGAAGTGGTGTGTTGGACTAAGGAGCACTATTGCCGGCTCCGTCGCCCTCAAACACCAGAATCCCTTCCTCTCCCGACACAGAGTCGCAGCCCACGGCAAACAGGCTGCCCAATTCGGTCGCATTTTACGACAAGCATTGGGTGGCTGAGGACACATTCTTGTTTATCTTCCCCGGGACCTTACATTAAAGATAACTATTTAAAGAATATAGTACTTAAAGACATTGCAACAAACCGAATAGAATCTGTACCGGTATAAAATCTCCGGGGACACCGGCACCCATGAAGATCCGGGGTGGAATAGGTTTGTAGCAACCCATGCTTGCCGTAAAAGGCGACTCCGCTCTTCGTAAGAGTCGACTAACGGGATCAGGTGGTCAGGCACGCTGACTTGGTTCAAGGATGGCATCGATTCTCATGTCAATCACTGGATTGTCTGGTCTAGACTCGATTATTTACAGACCGCCGTCAAATAGCTGGAATGTTGCTGAGTGCGGCTAACAAACAAATAAATCCAATAGCAAAACGGTCACATGTCTCGGGTGGTCGCTCCAATAGTGGTCCGTTCTCTTATACATGACGCGTCTTGGCTAAAGACGGGTCATTATGAGCCAAAACCTACACGCCAGGTGCATCATTTATTGGAGGAAATACTTTACATGTACTTACCGCAGACTGGATGTTTCAATAGAGTTATAAAGGTGTCAGCTAGTCGACAGCTGCTGCCCAAACAGTCAATGACGGTGCGAGCGGCACTGAAATACATCACCAAATTAAATGCTTATCCGTCTTACAAAGGAACTTTCGTTCATGCAACAGTTAATCATCCTGTTACCGTGCAGGTGCTAGATCACGTATTTGCCTTGCGAACAACATCGGTGACTAAACAAACCCAGTATTTTGTTTGTTTGTTGTTTAACGCCGCACAATCCAGTGATTGATATCATGAGCATCGATCCACGCAATTAGTTTGGATCGATATAATGCATCAACCAAGTCACCCAGCCAGATCACCCGATCCCGTTACTCACCTTCGACGGCAAGCATGGGTTGACTAAGACCTATTCTACCCCGGAATCTTCACGGGTCACAAACCCAATATATAGAACAAACCTAAATGCGTGCATTGCCTTGCACGATAGTATTAAATAGTTTTTCACAAGAAGAGTTCTCGTTTTGTTTCACACAAAATATACTTCATATTCCAAGAGACAAAATGTATTTGTTGCAACACTTTTTTCACTTTTTTGAACTGGTCAGAAACTCCTTATGGCTCAATTGGGATTCAGTTTACGAAGTAACTGACCCGTGAAGGTTCCGGGGTAGAATAGATCTTCAGCAACCCTCGCTTGCCGTAAAAGGATCGGGTGGTCAGACTTGGTGACTTGGTTGATGCATGTCATCGATCCCAATCGCGTGAATCGATACTCATGATATTTATCACTGGATTGTCTGGTCCAGACTCGATTATTTACAGACCGCCATCATTTAGCTGGAAGATTGCCGAGTACGGCGTTAAACACCAAACCAACTACGAAGTAACTGTCTACCTGCAAATCCTGTCCATTTCTCCACTCGCAGCCACATCAATGTACGCCTGTAGTTGCGTCGTACAGCCATCATTATTGCATCCAGTTAGTGCGGTTGCAAAAACAACTGAAACACAAGAAAACAACATTATCACTATCCCCACCCAAGGGGCACATTAGAAATGCGTTTGTTTATATAGAAGTGAATATTTATGGCTCTGGGGAGGATAGCTCCTGAAATATACCGCCATTTATTCTTTAACTCAATCTTCACAGAGAACTACTGTAAATGGCCAACTGAATTTTTTTTTTATTAAACCCACCACAAGGGGAGTAGGCTGGGCTGTGTGGTTTTTGCAATAATTCACCATATACCTTGTTTAATCACTAAATTGTCTGGTCCAGACTTGATTGTTTTTACAGACCGCCGTCATATAGCTGGAATATTGCTGAGTGCGGCATTAAACAACAAACAAACCTCGTACAAGTTCCTTTATCAAGTGCCATAACCTCCAAATGGGCAATTATGGTAACGGTTCTCAGACAACCCTGCGGCTGGATAATGTTTTTAGAAAATCCAAAGTAGCATGACAATGTCAGTATTCTGTTAATATAGGTGAAACGTTTCATAGAAAATATGTTTTAATAATTATGGATATATGATAAACATTTGATGCAACTTGATTAATTTCTTACAACAAAATAAATACTATAATCTCAATGATTTAAAGGAACTACGACGTCATCATTTGAAGGAACATACATCCTAGTCATCCAAAATACGGGGAATCTCAGAGAGTACTATCAAATAAAAAATGAAGTCAGTGTTCAAAATATCGCAAAAAAGGCAACATATGTGCTGGGCGCCACTTATATATATATATATATCGGTGACTGTCGTAAGTGGCGACTAACGTGATCTAGTGATGAGGCTCGCTGACTTGGTTAATGCTTTGGTTGGTTTCTTGTTTAACGCTGCACTGAGCAATAATATTCCAACTGTATGACGGCGGTCTGTAAATAATCAAGCCTGGACCAGACAATCCAGTGATTGATATCATGAGCATCGATCCACGCAATTGGGATCGATGACATGCATCAACCAAGTCAGCGAGCCAGACCACCCGATCTCGTTAGTCGCCTTTTACGACAAGCATACTCACATTTTATGGCAAGCATGGGTTGCTTAAGACCTATTCTACCCCGGAATTTTCACGGGTCCTTGGTTAATGCATGTCATCGTATCCCAATTTCGCTTAAACGATGCTCATGATGTCAATCACTGGACTGTCCGGTATATAACTCGGTGGGTATAATATTGGCCATGTAAACATGGGTTTTCAAGCATTTACATAGGCGTTTGCCGTATGGTAACACTTAAACAGCGCTAGCATCAATAGTACTCACCAAACAGACACAAGGTAGCAGCTAGAAGCAGGCAGTTCATGTTGATCGGTAGTTCAAAAGAAATCTAACCACGTCAATATCGCATTCGTATTTATAGCTAAAGGTTAAAGGGGTGTAAAATATTTGATCCAATCGTATTTCGACACATCTGATAATTTCACAGTTCTTCACACTAACCAACAATTATTGTGAAATTGGCTACATCGTTCCTCTTTGAAATGTCGCAATTTCAAAGTCAGGTGACGAGGAACATAGTTGTCCGAATATGTGGCCAAACTATATCGATTAGGGAAAATAATACTGTGTCCTGAATGCATGATATTTCCACGGAGGTAGCTAATTCTTCTCACAAGCATCATTGTTGTACGTATTACACCGCATGCAGGACTTGGGCGTAGCTTTGGAACATTATTTTGCGCGTCAAATGTTTTGATACCTCCGAATGGTCAGCCTCGGTTCACGTGACTTCGGTTGATTGTGCATCATCGTTCAGCATGGGAAGTTGTTTGTAATACCAACCACGAGTATTTCTGACCATGACGCCATAAATTACAGGCCACCGTGATATAGAATATTAATGAGTGCGGCTTCAAACCACAAACACTTTTTTCAATTAAAGATTTTAATTAATTATTCAGATATTTTTGTTGCACCTTGATAGTTCGATGTGCGATTTTGGGACATTAAAGTACAAGAAACTACATATATGATTTTATCACATGTTCAATGTCTTTCGGTGACTACTTTAAAATGCTGATAAGACCCGTGAAGATTCCGGGGTAGAATAGGTTTTCAGCACCCCATGCTTGCCGTAAAAGGTGACTAAGCTTGGCTTGCTGACTTGGTTGATGCATGTCATCGATCCCAATTTCGTGGATCGATGCACATGATATCAATCACTGGATTGGCTGTTCCAGACTTGATTAATTACAGACCGCCGTCATGTGTGGCTGTAATATTGCTGAGTGCGGCGTAAAACAACAAACCAAACCTAAAATGCTGATACAGAACACGAAAGGCATAGTGTATTACATTGTCCTCACTATTAAGATCTTAGGTTTCATCTTATTTCGAAATGTCGTTACGTATCTTCTGATTTTGATAGTTTTAGTGATTTACGTAAAGTAGGTTTTATACTGTCCAGCCCAGAATTGATTTTTACAACTGCCAAGACCTGCAAGAATATTTTAATAACCAGATCGGATGCGTTACACCATGAATGACTATAGACTATTCTCATTTGTGAATAGCCTGGTACAGTCATTTTTATCGTGTGTAATATATGTGGAAATGTATTGTGGTTTTAACAAATGGACCGTTAAAGGTGACTATGCTTGTCGTAAAAGGCGACTAACGGGATCGGGTGGTCAGGCTCGGTTACTTGGTTGATGCATGTCATCGTATCCCAATTGCGTTGATCGATGCTCATGATATCAATCATTGGATTGTATGGTCCACACTCGTTTATTTACAGACCCAGGCATATAGCTAGAATAGTGCTGAGTGCGGCATTAAACAACCAACCAAACCAACCAACAGAGGGACTTACCTAAAAACCTGCCAACGAGGGACAGTAAAATAACTAGACTCATCTCAGAAATGTATTTAAAACTAGTATGTCATATAAAATCAATAGCACCATACATAACATTACATTATGAAAACGGGCCAGAGATCGCAAGCAACTGAAGGTAGATCACCATACTAGGGACCATGGGGACTTGCAGTACTTTTGCTACCTGCATGGACCCTAGCAGGATTTACATAATCCTTTCAGTCGCTGGCAATTGTACATAATTTTAGCCACAATTAAAATGACAGATATTCTACGTTTGAAAGCGTAGTAGAAGTAAGTATTCTTTGAATGATATTGACTTATTCTCTCAGGGGGACAATAATTGAGACAATTTTAAAGAATTTATTCCCAATGTATTATATATGAAACGAGTTGAGACTCAAATAACATTATCTGTCTGCCTGTCTGTCAGTCCGTAGTTATCTTGGTGCAAAGCACAACGTCTAAAAGACGCCGATGTACCTGAGAAGATTTTTATTAATGGTACAATTTACATGAACTCTTGAATAACGACACGCTCGGGTCTGTACCTAATAGGTCTTCAGCAACCCATGCTTGCCGTAAAAGGTGACTATGCTTGTCGTAAAAGGCGACTAACGGGATCGGGTGGTCAGGCTCGCTGACTTGTTTGATGCATGTCATCGATCCCAATTGCGTGGATCGATGATCATGATATTAATCACTGGATTGTCTGGTCCATACTCGATTATTTACAGACCGCCGTCATATAGCTGGAATATTGCTGAGTGCGGCGTTAAACAACAAACCAACCAACCAGCATGGTGATGCTCAGTCTGTCCTCCACTGATTTACGTCGTTCAGACAGGACTATTATCAGATAACCATGCCCTTATACACTGTGGGTGAGTTACTGCTAAAAAACATCTGCCACTCCCTGAATTTTGTTTTGTTCCGAGGGCATTCAAGACTTCAATCTGTCCGCAATATCGTAAGCCGAGGGCATTCAAGGCTTCAATCTGTCCGCAATATCGTAAGCCGAGGGCATTCAAGGCTTCAATCTGTCCGCAATATCGTAAGCATTTGCGTCAAATCATGTGAATTGAATTTGTTCACATGGGGATGAGGAAAGTCAAAATAATTTGAAGCAAATATGAATAGCACCATTAGCATTCACACAGTATATAGTTGCATTGAATGCACTGTAACGTTAGCAGATAGGGAAACAGCTCCGCACGCGACCGTACAGGAAAAGTATTTGAGGAAACCTTTTACAATGTTCAGGGAAACAGCTCCGCACGCACCCGTACAGGAAAAGTAATTGAGGAAACTTTTTACAATGTTCAGTTAACACCCTTCATACCATGTAGATTCAAATCTAGTTTTTGGATACGTAGTTCCAAAGAAATAAACATGTGTATTTTAGAATTATAGACAGTGGGCATACACGCTTACATAAGTGAACAGCATGTGTTTGAGAAGGCCGTGAACACGAACGCAATACTGCAGCTGGAAACATGGAAACCCGGGTTCGATTCCCGACAAAGGGACAAGTGTGTCCCCCGCCGTGACATTGCTAAAAGTGGCGTAAAACCATACTCACTCACTCACTTAACTATTAATGAAACATCGCAGGAACAGAATTTTATAACAGCACACGAGTCCGTATATTATTTATTGTGATCTCATTCTATACTTTGAGAATGAATAGAACCATTTAGGTTAAATAACAATGTTCGATTAGCATCACATCTCACTTGTTGTTCACTAATACAGTAAACTACGGTTATAACGAACACCCTTATAACGAACTGACGGATATAACGAACTTACTGTTTTGGTCTCGACTATTTCCTGTAGTTATGCTGTATATATATATATATATACAAAAATGAGGTAAATGTTCACTCGGTGTACATGTAATATATAATAAAATAATAAAGTCCACGTTAGTCCATCATCTTCTTTATATCAGTTTCATACATAGTACTTTCGCTGTCTCATGACAGCTCTTCAGTGTAACTGACAATGACATATAATGACGTCATACTTATGATGACGTCATAAATTACAACTGTGACGTCACAATGTATTTACACACTCCAGCGACGACACCAAGTAATTTAACAATTGTAGGGAGACTTTTGAATTAAATATACAGTATTTGTAAAGTAACAGTGCAACATTTACGATTGAAATGACAAATCTATTAATACATTCTAGAGTTCAACTTTGGTTTCATCAATTGGATAAACATTTGTTCTTTTTCCAGTCTCAGCTGCTTGTTACTTGTATACAATTTATAAAACGGAAAAATAGTAAATTTCCCGTTTCCGCAATCATCAATGTGTTTGCTGACACCTAAGCATCGAACATTAGGGTCTCTAATCTGCTGTTTGTGTACAGTGACTCTATCTTTTAATTCCATGCCGGTTTCACCGATGTAGTTTTCGCCGCATCCCGAACATCTCATAACATACACCACATCTTTGCTGCGGCAGTTCATGTCGGCTTTCACATTGAAACCCTTGCCATTTGCAAAAAGGAAAGTAGTACCTTCACTTATGATGTTACACGTGCCGCATCTTGGTGTGTTACATCTACTTACACATGGTACACTCTCTGTACAAGAATATTTGGATGGACAAAGAATCTGCTTGAGATTTTTTGGTTGCCTGGTACTTTTTATAATTTTAAATTTATTCAGTCCTTGTTTCATTTTATCGCTTTGCTGTAAAATTGGGAGGTTGTCCCTTATGACTGGCATGATATCACAATTATTAGGATTGAAAACTGTCTTTTGTTAAATTACATCTTCCTTGGTTGCGGCAACGTAACCAAGGAAGATGTAATTTAACAAAAGACACAGAATCACGAAGAGCTTAAAGTGGACATTCATGCATTCAGTAGAAGACTGAGACTCATGGAATATTTTGAATGCGATGATCAAGAGGATGATATATCCGTTTCCGATAAAAATTCGATCACAAATAGACCATTATTAAGGAACAAAAGCATGTTCAATCCAAAAAAGAACAGGGATAAATACCTTGATGACTACTTAAACAACCTGGAGAAATATCCTCTACGGAACATCAGGAAGTGCCATCCAAACTTAGCACTGGAAGAACGTAAAGCTGTGGAGGATCTTAAAAATGACAAATCGATTGTTATTAAGGAAGCAGATAAAGGCGGCGCAGTCGTAATAATGGACTCGGAATATTATGAATCAAATATGTATGAATTATTGCAAGACAAGGAATTTTACATTGAAACAGATAATACTGAAAAAGCTGTAATTAAGAAGATTAAAAAACATAGTGATGACTTCTCTGGAGATCTACACCCTAAAGAAAAAGACTACTTAATAAACAGTGACCCGCAGACGGCTAATTTCTATGGACTACCCAAGATCCATAAAAGTAAATTGATAAATAATGCTATTGCCGAACAGAATGCGGAGTATATCGAAATTACCAGCTGTCCTGATTTGACATTCAGGCCGATTGTCGGAGGACCGAACAGCCCGACTCAGCGCCTAAGTAATCTCGTCGATATCATTTTAAA